GGGGGTGGGAAATCTGGTTTTAAGGGGATAAAGATGGACAACAGTGTCTAGTCCAGTGTGAGACTGTGGTAGTTGATGACTGAGGGACTTTAGAGAGAAAAGAAACCAGTATGGACTTTGAAGGTCAGTAACTACTCAGTATCTTCAGTGTTTGTGCTGAAAAATTCTTCCAAAATGTTATTTGGTGAGAAAAGTCCAGGGACCCCAGGAATTATATTTTAATTATCAATAATTATAGTAATAATAATAATCCATTGTAATTAATACTACAGCATATTTTCTATTCAGAGGTATACAACATCAAACCAAATGCCAAAGGCCAGTATCAGCTCTGTATTTATCGGTCTAATCCTTTTACATACACAACAAGACATGTAAGACCTTTTTAAAACAATTTACCGGTCTCCCCGTCCTCCCTCACCCCACCCCCTCCCCTCAAATCTCTACCTTCTCTTCCCGCTCAAGATGGTGCATTTTTTATTTATGTCCTTTTTTCTTTTCTTTTTTTTTTTGTCTTTGTATGCAAATTCCGTCTGACTTGTCTGAATTATGTGTGTCTGTCCGGGAGCCTATGTGATCCGGAGTGACTGAGGATTGCACACACGGTGATTGCATCCACTGGGCCTACTCTGAGCCTTGCATAAGTAATTGAGATGTCAGTATGTGTTCTCATATTCCCACAACAAAACTGTAGGAAAACATGGACTGTTGAAGGTCATTTGAATAATTCCTTAATGTAACGGAGGCCTTGTTTTTCGGGATGCATGAAAAAGCAAATGTCAATGATCAAAATCAAGCAGCATCATATCTCATGGAGGCAGCAGTGATTCCTGAAGCACTTCACCCTCTATCTCCTTCTCTTTCTCTCTGAAAAGATAGATAAGGGATAAGTGTCTTTGTGCATATCAAACACAACACAAGCCACTATTTCTCAAGGGTCTTTTTGAAACACAAATTGGTTTTGAGACATTTTTTCTGTTGACCTCTTTGATTTGAAATAGGAAATGACAGGGTTTTCATATAAAAAAACCACTGAGAGGTCAATGACTAAATCATACATCTACACAGGAGATCATGGGAAATGTACCATTAATCTTTCAAATACTGATTATTATTGTAGCTGTAGACATGGCCCCAGGTGATCAGGCAAAAAGAAATTGATTAGCTGTTATACAGACAAGGTAAACATAGAAAAACACATAACAGATATATTTATAGTGGTCATCGTGTTGGAATCTCAGAGGATTAGAATTTGTATCAAAGAAGGTGTAGCATGGTTTATTATGTGTCTAAATGCAATTCAAAGTAATGAAGAAACAAAGATACACGAGAAAACAATCAAATCCATTCCCCCTCCAGAAAAAGGAAAAAAGAGACAAATTATAGTGCAGTGTAAGAACAGAATGGATAGGTATCACATCTTGTTTTGTAAAACCACATCCCTCATCCACCAAGATGGAGGAAACATTTCATCCCCTGTATGCTTTGGTGTTTTGTCCGGGCTTGTGATGGATGAAGGGCCTGGCGACACACACCTGCAGTCCTCATCCAACACCACATCATAACTAAGGGCTTGGCAGACTGAGATGATCTCCTACATGCGTTAGCCTGCTGCTGTCAAACACCATCATTCTCCAAAGACAACTCTGTCACATCAACCCTCCCACCGCAAAATAAACCCACCTTGATGAAAGACTGCCGCATGCCCATCAAAGAAATACAAATACACTGCTACTGACACCAGCTGGAGTGCTGCACTCTCAGTTACAGCAGCATGAGTATCACACTGTAGAGGCTAAAATGACGCAGTGGGACTCTAATACGTATCTAAAAAACAAAATCCTGTACAACCAGTTCAGCTTCTTCAATGTATCTGAATCAATAAGAGACAAATGAGAGACCTCATTAAGTTAGCTGCATAGCTAAGGCTATGCACAAGAATAGGAGGTGTGGTCAAAGCAATTTAAAAGTACTCTCTGACTGGTTTAATCTTTGACAGCACTCGCATTATGAAATGTTAGTTAGCAAACACAGTTCTGCTGAAAATTGCAGTACTGTATACACCAGTGTCACACCAGTTTTCAGTGTCTGTGTGGCACAAAGAGAACCTGTTCTCTTACGACACAGGATCCTTTTTGGTTAGTGTGTAGGAATCGAAGAATTGTCACAGATCCTGAACATTTTACAGTATGAAGCTGAGCAGCATAATTGAATCAAGTCTACAAACTGACTTAAATCAACATAAAAATAGACCAAGGCAGGTATCTTGTTGCAAAACCTGAATACTGATAACTTCTTCCTGAATGCAATTTCCACAATGAGGCGTTTTATCAGGATCCAAACAGATTTCTCAGACTTTAGCTTGTGATCCAGCACAAAGGCTCTCAGTCGTGTTGCTTTGTTTGTTGATTCTCTGTCAGACATTGTTTGTTCGGTTTGAAGTATTTTGGAAGGGTATTAAACCATACGTCAGAGTTGTGTGCAAAGTTGGAGGCTTTATAGACGGGAGGCACACGCCGGGTTTCCTTAGCAGGAGCTTTGTCTTTGTTTCACGGCTGACGATGATCTTCATGCCGCTATCATATACAAACCAGGAACAATGACATGTGAAGCCTAACAAAAGACTTGTAGGCTGCATGAATTACCTACATTCAAGGTAATAACACACCTTGAGGCTTTAGAGGTGAACTTCTGAGAAAATATCAAATATCACAAGCACTGGGATCAACTTGTGCTCTCTTATTTAACTTAACCATAGAGGAACACCTCTCTATCATCAACTCAAAGTGATGACACAAATATTTACATTATACTTGATGTAATGTATAGACTCAGTGTGAAGTACACATTCCCATGCAAACATCAATATATCCCTGTTCTATTTAGGCAGAGGCAGACACGGGTTATGCAGGTTAATACTCCCTCCCCGTGTTCCCACCAGCCCAGGTAATTTTGTTATTCCGTTTGTGCCCCCTGTCTACACCCACCCCTGTCTGCTGTACATAATGGTCCCAGCCCTGAGAGGAAGCAGGCATTTACTTATACAAAACCTTGAGGAAATCCCTACCAATCCTCAGGGCTCACGTTCAGCAGCGCCCAGAACACAAAGGCTATGCAAATCTGCCCAGCCTGCGTTTATCTACACTCGGTTTCCGTTTGCACCACAGGAACTAGCATTGTGCCGTGCGTGGCGATTATCGCATGTAATTTACATAGAATACGCACAGGAAACAGTGCACTGATCTCTAACAATGCAGGAAAGAGTCTCTATCGGCTCAGCAGCTATCTGACGGCACAGCAAAATTACAGGTTTAGCTGTGGGGTTTTAAACCTACAAGGTGTTTTTTTATTTCTGGTGTGCAGGGAACACTATCTCCTCCAAATGTTGCTTGTTTATCTGCCTTGTTTGTTTTATAACCCAACTCTAGCAGCCCCTTTCCGAGGAAGCTGCATCTTCAGCCGGGCTAATCTGCCCTCTGCCTGTGTTTCCTTTGTCACTGAATCCGTGTATCAACACAGTGAAGTGCAGCCAGATCGAGGAGGTGTGTAATTGCAAAAAAAACACTTGTGCTAATATAGCTGGGCGGGTGTGTGGGACTGACTCAGCCGACACAAGGCATGTTGTGAATATGAGGAATGGAAGTCATAACACTGCGGCATGGCGTCATCCATACAAAGGCTGGTACTGTAAGTACTCTATCAGAAACTTGAGACATGAGGGCGAGATGAAGATCAAATTCCTGATGCAGATGCTTAACCTGCAGGGCTGCCGGAGGAGGAAAACCCCACAACCTGCTGCTTACCTTTGGGTGAGGGTCAACTGGAGGTTATCGTACGCAATGAATAACTTTCTACTCTCACTAAAGCTAAATGTTAAGATATATAAAAAATGAAGTCAGACCTGAAACATAAGAAAACACAACATCACACAAAACAAGCAAGCTCCGCAAGCAACTATGCGAACATTCATTTAGAGGAGATGGAAACAAACATCACTGATGTGGACAGGGAAATGGAAACAGCTTCCTGCACTAAACTACATGATTTTACACTGACCTTAGACAATCACACGCTGGCTGTGGAATTAAAAAGGTTCAAACAATAAACCGGCTCACACTAACAAAGCTGACAAAGTGACACTTATCCTGCAAAGATGTTGTTTAATCTGAACAAACTTGCTAAAATACAGCTAGGTGTGTTGAAAAAATGCCATTTAGCGCACACATGTGCATTAGATGCTGGCTCTGATGAATGATGCAGGCAGCTTAAGTTCACCAATTGATAAGTACTGTCTGAAACATGAAATTTAAGTTATTTGATTATAGTCTCCACATTGCCAAGTTTCACAGTTATACCCTTTTACTGTAGCATGCCCATCACAAAAAGCTGTGTAATTTTTTTTAAATGCACAACACAAAGATACTCAGTGTATTTCCTTGTTAGCTGTGTTGCAGTTGATCAGAGAACAGGACAGCCTGCTGCTTATGTATCATCTGAGTAGTTGTGTTAAATATTGGTTGGTTCAGTGTTCAGTGTGGCCAGTCAGGAGGCTATATCAAGCAGAACAGACACCCATCTGATTTTGTTCCAAGAAGACAGGCAAAAGTACACTGCCGTCATTAATATAACACTGATTCTTTCAGAACGGGCCCTCCGAAGGCCAGTCACAAGCCTAGCATGGGTTTCTTAGAGTACAATAGGCACCCTTACAGGCTTATCATCCCCGTCATCTTCATCATTATAATAGTCATCGGCAGTATGATGCGGCTCAGTCATCAGTTTTATGTATGACACCAGTGACCAGCAGGCCTGCTGCAGAACACATAATGACAGTGAGACAAGTTTAAGTATTACCAAAAAAGAAATCCTCTTACACTGGGTTAGGAGTTGAAATGGGTGTGATTGCTTTAATTTGCCGCAAAGCAAATGCTACAGAGTAAAGTTAAATACATCTTGAGATTGGTGCACCACCATGACAAATGAACACACAACCACAAATGTATGACTGTTAACAACTGCTTTGGGGTTTATTTTACAATTGAGAAAGAAATGAAACAAACTAATCAGTGCTAAAAGGTTTTTTTTTTTTTTACAATATTGTCGATAAAACATTGAAATGTATAGTCATTGTGCATCGCTTATTTATTTTCCACACCATTTCATGCATCAAATTGGATGCAAGTATAATTAAAATCATTTCTGTAAACCAAGCCAAAGATGCTAAATTTGTATTTTCTTTAAAAAAGGACATTTTGTAGCTCTACAGCATATATCTATATACACCATCTGTTTTTATTTTTTAGCATTTTTGTATATAAAATGACAATATAAAAGTTAGAGAATGCACACACCTTAAGATACAAAGAATGTTGAGCCGTTTCAAATGGTAAGATATGTCTTATGGATTACTGACATTTCACTGGTAATCATTTACATGTAACGGACTGTTCTCTTTACAGTTGAATAAAGCGACACAATTTAGAAAGAGAAAGTTGTAACAAACCATACAACTGGAAAATTGCTATAAGGTGATACTTCACAACAAGGAAAGTTTTTTGAGCAAACTTGCATACTGATGGCCATTCATTTTCACTGATTGACTCGTAACCAGAAGCAGCATTTCAGTTTTTCCAAATATTCATGTGATCTTTTTTCTAATACACTGACAGATTTATGAGCAGGCCATTCATCATCAAAAACACTGCAGTGAAATGAACCCAAAAAGGAGAGGGGGGAAATGATAATCCTTGATCTTTTCAAATCAATCTGATTTTGACAAATGCAAGATATTTCAAAACATGTTCTCTTTACAAATTCAAAATTCAACTGTCTAAGGTGCTACTTCAGTCTTTCAGGGTATTCTTTCATTCTTTTGGTGTATACATTTAATTTTCACCTTCTTCATATCAAGTATTATACAGTTTTCTCTTCCACCAATTCTTTATCCACTTCCCACTTTTACCTTTGAAGCAGTAGTTGTATTTTTGCCATGAAAAGATTAAAATCTTGTGTTTAACCTTGATTCACTAAAATACATGCACAGATCAGACAAATAGCATATAAATATATTACAAAATAAGTGTAAAAAAGCTTGGCAAAACAAAAACAAATCAACATGAAAAGACATGGTCCAGTCAGGCAGTTATCACAAAAAAAAAATAATAATAAGACCGATTTTTTCTGGCGGCTCAGTTCGGCCCAGTGCAGTAACTGTGAACAATGTCATTTTAGTGCAATGAAATTCTAGTCAGTTCCACAGCTGTCAGTCTCTACCCTCAGCTTGAGACGCTGCTTAAACCTTCTCCATCTTGTCTAGCTTCTCCAGTTTCTCCAAAGCAGTGACAAATACAAGGTGGTCCTCTGGAGACTTGCCGTGGGTCTTGCTGAGGTGCAGTTTGACTGCGTGTTTGCTGACGAATGTCCGATTGCAAAGTCTGCACTGGTACACAGAGCCTGTGTCGTCCTCTGGCGTGGTCAAGGCTGACAGGGGGCTGCCGAATGTCATTTTGTCTGTGATCACCTTTGAGGCAGCCTGCTGCTCCCGTAGGTGCTCAGCTGACAGCTTGGACAGGTCCTTCAAGCTGAAGCCCAGATGAGACTCCAGGTGGCTAATGTAGGAGGAGGGAGTCCTGAACTGGGAGGCACAGTCACCACAGAGGAACACAGGCTGGCACGAGTCCATGTTCTTGAGAAACTTGGTGCCCCCAGTCCGTCTCAGCTGGTACTTGACATTTGCCAGCCAGTGGGATATGGTGGTCATGGAGAGGCCTGTGAACTTACAGATGTGGACCCTTTCCTGGGGGCCCAGGTCAGTCATGGCGTAGCGGCCCTCTGGGGTCTCCCTCAGGCTGGAGGCAAACTGTGCCTGGAGGATGAGGAGGTGCTGGGGATTCCAGTTGGATTGCCGCCCTTTCCTCTTCTGCACTGGGGAGAGGTCCTCTAGGGCGTCCTCAAATGCACTGCCGTCGGCATCCGACTTCTCTGATATGGAGGAGGGAGTTGAAGATTTGGGCGTCAGTCTTCCAGTGAGGTTCTTTACCATATCAGAAATGTCCATCAGAGCATTCTCTCTCAGAGGAGAGGAAACTGAGTCAGGGAGAGAAATGAGGGGCTTGTTACCATTTAAACCATTATTGGTCAAGAGCACACTGCTGCTGTTGTTATTGTTATTGTTGCTGTTAGTGGTAGACTTATTTTTACTCAGGTCTATGGGCTGGTCGTTGCTTTCATACAATGGATAGTGGTTAAGGGGCTCAGCTGGCTTGCCCTGAGGAGTTGGGTTGAAAGCTGGCTTATCCATCATGCTGTTGCTGATTTTGTAAAGCATAGATAGTGGGTCTGCAGCTGGACTTACTGGTTTGGAGGCCTTACCCAGGTGTGTGTTCATGATTGACTGGAGTGCGCTGAGAGGGTTGATGAAAGGACTTTCCGGTGAGTGATCGGTGATGATGCCAAGACTGTTGCCATTAGTTACTGGGGATTGGCATGCCTCGGAGCCGTTCTTTGAATGGTTGCTGTGGCCATCTACAAGGCTCTCTTTGGGCTCCTTCTTGCAGATAAGCTCTGAATCTACACTGCCTGGGCTGCTGCTACTTCTCATACCACACAGTTTACCTAAAGAAAGGTCATTTGGAGATGCTAATTGCTCTCTCTGCTCTCTCAGTGCAGGGGAGGGGGACTTGACTAATGATGGGGGCCTGCACCGTTCCAGGCTCACCATCTTCTCCTCCTTTTCTTTCTTCACAGTGGCAGCTTTCCCTGTCACTTTCTCCACAAGCTCCTCCATGGCAGTGACATTGCTCCTGAGGGGGGTAGGGGAGGAAGGGCTCCGAGGCGAGTGGATGACTGAGTTGGGGTCACTCACCAGGCCTCGTAGCCCACTGTTAAACATTGGCTGCATCTGGACACTCTGAACCATTGGGGGTAGAACAGTAGCGGAGCTCTTCATGGCACCCTGCAGTTGGTAAGCTGCATGAATGCTAGGGTAGCCACCCCATGTGGGTGTGCCTGTCTGGGCTTTGCTGATGGCACTGGATACAGTGTTCTCAAGGGATTTAAGAATATCTAAACCCCCTTTTGGTGTCTCCTCCAGATCTTCTTCTCTAAGGTATTTATATGATGTGGCATCAGTCTCAGATTTCTCACCCGAGTCATCTCTCTCCTCCTTGATTTTTTTCTCCAGTGGCTCTCCACCTTCAACCTTTTCATCCTCACCTCCTTCCCTCTTTTCCTCTGAGCCAGAGGAGAGGGCGGGGGACACTGGCTGGGACTTACCACTACTGGGAACAGGGAGTCTGGTGGTGGTTGGTGGCAGTGGGATAGACTGAATCTTCTCTTCCACCACTGGGTCAAAAACCAGCTGTTTACCCTTTTTGGATGCAGAATTTGTAACCTTCAAAAAGTGACCTGTAACCATCATGTGGGCAGTCAGCTGTTGCAGTGTATCATGAGAGCTTCCACACTCCATGCATTTGAGGATCTGGGCTTTACGAGCTTCAAACTGCCACGTGTAACTGGCACCATTCTGGTAGCCATAGCGGTTGTTTGGTGTAACATAGGGGTTAGCTGCGGATTTTGAATCTTTGCCAACATCTCCAAGGGATACAATGCCACCACCATGACCAGCATGTACAGAGTCTGGGGAGCATGGGGAGACTATAGCATCTTGGATAGCTCGTTTTTTAGCTGAAGTGGACACCAGTTTAGTGGCCAAGGCTGGCACTGGTTCTTTGAGAGGCACTTTCTGGTAATGCTTGGTCTTGATCATATGAACGCTGAGATCTTGCAGAGACTCGAATGAGTGGCCACAGTACATGCACTTCAGTACCTTCTGGGCATCCTCTTTCCCCTCCATCTCCATCAAGGAGCGCTTGCGTGGTTTGGACCAGCGCTTTCCCTGATCCTCCTCTTTGTCCTTATTGTCATCTCGATAGTGGCCCGTCTCATTCATGTGGACTGTCAAACCCACCAATGTGTCATAGGCAGCGCTGCAGTCTTTGCAGCGAAACTTGCTTGCACCAGTGAAAACAGAGCCATACAGCTTGTTGTTCTGCCGGTAGAGCTGCACTGTGCTGAAGAGGCTAGGTTCCGGTAGAAGGTGGTAGGGGGTCTGCTGAAGAGTTTTGGCAAGTGCTGCCTGGTGCCAATCGTATGCTACACCACTACCATTACTAGCCCCACCACTGCTGCTCCCACTGCTGTTGGTTACACTGTGGCTGCTAACAGAGCTAGCTACTGTGCCATTAGTATTGCCACTTGCGCTGCCTGTGTGGTTGACAGTGGTGCTGGAGCTCCTGCCATTATGGTGACTGCTAGCACTGTTGATGCCACTGCTCTTGTTTGTGGTTGTAGTTGTGGAGACAGAAGCAGTAGAGGCAGGCTCTGGAGTGGTGAGGGCACTGTTGACACTACCAGCTGCAGCAGGCTTGGATTTCATTATGTCCATTGCGATGCTGGACCAAGAGGCATCTGAGATGAGGTTTGCATAGACGGCTTTCATCTGTGCCAGGCTATCCTGGAAAGAGAGGCCGTTGTTGGGGCGGAAGGGCAAAGCTGAGCCTTCCCTCTCCTGACCGTCCCTGGAAGAGGTGCTCTTGAAGTCCGTAAGTCGGTCGCTGGCATCACTGAGTGGAGACCCGTATCCAGCGTCAGGGTTAGTGCCATTGCTGAGTGGAGAGTCTCTGTAACTAGGTGGCTGGCCTCCATCTCCATCTTCCTCTTCCTCGTTGCAAAGGAACTCAGTGTCCTGGCCGTCTAATGAAAGGCCATCATCCTGCAGGTGCTCTTCCTCATCGTGGGCGCCTGCCTTAAGCTCGTCCTCGGGCATGTACGCTGGAGAGAAAGAGAGCACGAGAGAAGACAAAAAAGGGAAGAAAAAAAAGAGAGGGAAAAGAGGTCAGCTCAGTGAAATTAAAGATTTACAGCACAGTAACAGGACCACTGTCAAAATAACATGGAATGAATACTCAATAGTGGCAAATGTAGGCTTTTATTCTCATCCAATGTGAGTGTGTGTACGTGTCTGTATGAATGCACGCATTTGTGTGTATTTTACACACATGTGGCTCTGAAAGCCAGTGGTGAAAAAAGCCTCCAAGGGAAAAATAAATCACTGAGCTCCTGACAGTTGTCCTTTTCCTTCCCAACTCCCTATTCCTCCACACATGCCTCATGTTCCCCAGGAAATGACTGGCTATTTGGCCTTGTTAGCCAGCTGCATGTTTGCATGTTCAACTCCCCCTTTCTTTCTCTTTCTTTCTCTCTTCCCCAAGCTTTATTGCCTCTCACTCATCCAGTCCATGAAGTTCCGCTCCTCATATGCTCAGGTTATGCAACTGATCGGGGAGGGAAAGAAACAAAACACTAATTTGGAGATATTGCAGCTTTTCCTAACCCACTCTGATGAACTGTAGGTCATTTTCATTTGAACTAATAAGCAATAACTGGCAATACAATAGTACTTGGAGTGAGAATGCCACAATGATTGCTGAAAGAAGGAGTCTTTGGCAGGCCGTTTATGCATTTGCAAAATATACTACTGTTCTGTGATCCAATATGGCATGGACAATGCTTAACAAAAAGATTGATTAAATGAGAAAAGCAAACCATGGTCAAAGATTGATGCACAGAGAAAGGGAACTAAACAAGGCTAAGACTAAATAGGTTTACCAGTAAAATGTATAGATCCAAATGAGACAGAAGGCTAGACCATGAGTGTGTGTGTGTGTGTGTGTGTGTGTGTGTGTGTGTGTGTGTGTGTGTGTGTGTGTGTGTGTGTGAGTGGGTGTGCATGCTAGGGAAGACACAGCAAGCATCAGTAAGTAGGTAAGACAGGAGGTGGTTAGGGGGAGAACAAGTGAATGAAAAGAAGATGTGGGGGAAAAAGAAAAAGTGAGCAGGAGGTGGTGGGTTTGGTGGGCGGGGAGAGGGGGTGTAAGAGAAAAAGGAGAAAGAAGAGAGAGAGAGGGTGAGGGAGGCAGGGAGACAGGATAGACGGCCCCCTAGCTTCTTCCTTTATCTCCTTCCTGCATGGTGAGATGTGTGTCCTAGATGCCAGTATCAGTCTCTCCTGATGAAACAGATGTGCTGTCAGCTTCAAACGGCACGCTAACCTGTCATATCATAATCTAAGTGGACATAATACCTGATATATATACACTGGCACCATTTACTGCTGCCTGAGAGGAGATGGGTGGAGGAGGTGGGGGAGGTGAGCAGCTGCACCGTCGACTGTGACTGTGCGATGATGTGCACGTGCGTGCGTGAGTGCCTCAGTAAGTGCCTGTTTGCAAATGCGTGTTTGTCCGCATGCTCACCTTCCCATGCCTATGTGTGTACTTTACGCACTCTGCAGCTCATACATATTTGCTCTTACAGTGCAAACCTGAACCTACCGACCATAATATTGCCTATAAGTCTGAGTTCACTGTGTGCTACTGATACACCCTTCTCCAAATGAGCAACATACTCCCCTAACGCTTGACAGGATTTCAGTGAAATGAGAGCACTACAGGAGAACCTGGCTGCGCTTCAATCCCACTGACAGACTGAGACCGAGACAGTTTCTAAAACTCCTGAAAATCCCTAACACAGCAGATTAGCATTATGTGCTGTACTCTCTACAACACATCTGCAGAGTGTCTTCTGTTACAGTGCCTTCCCCCTCGCTAACCCGCTTCGAGAACGGGAGGCTATCAATACATATCATCCATTTAATATACAAAGCATCCTGCAGAACGGCTATCCATTCTTCACAAGCCCACACAAACAGTGCAAACATACAGTAGGAATTACCTACGTGAGTCACTCTCGTCGGCTGCAGCCAAAAAATAGCTAAACCCCAATAATTGGCAGTGCTTAATACATACACACTCACACACAGACACGCACAGACAGCAGGAATGAGACGCAGCAGATCAGAAATATCCCTGGGTGAGTGACAAAACACAGACTGCAGCAGGGAGGGGCTTGGAACAATGAGCAGGTCGCCAGGGAACCCTTTGACGATCCCTGTCAATCAATGCCTGTCCTGCCATGTTGTCATGGAAACAACAAAGAGGGAGATATCAAAAGCACACAGACAAAAGACGGGCAGAGACAGACATCTGTAAAAATCACAGGCAGCAAGTGGATGGCTTTGCAAACCATAAATGTACAATATTAGTGATGAAACGTTAGTCTGAAATAAATGATCTCTCCATCTCTTTTGAGATGCTGCATCTACTCTGACAGGATGCTAAAATATGAAGCATGAGGAAGGAAAAATATTAAGAGCTACATATCAAGTCAGTGAACTGCAACTTGAAGATGTGTAATTCTCACTGGCGACCAGATTAAGCTCCTTCTCTTGGACGCACATATGCGGAGCAACACCAGCAGCAAGAGGCGGGCTTGGGGATGGGGCAGGGCTGGCGTGCCGTCCCTGGCGGTTTGGTTTGCCGAGTGGGTGATGGCTGTGAGCAGGGCCATCTGCACGGGCGCCAAAGCGCCTGTCACTTTTGCTCGGGGACGTGCCGCCATCAAGGAGACAGGCGGCAGCGTGGCCAGGATAGCACTACAGACTCACTGTCAGAAGCAGCAGCGATCAAGCCCGCCACCAGCCACGCCACATCACCAACAACACACACCAAGAATTAGCATCCCAGTGTATCACTGATCTCCCAACACCTACACATATGGTTAATACACTGTTAAAAAAGGGATCCAAGATATGTTAAGCACCAACAAGGGTTTGTAGGAAACCCTTTGGATGTTATGTAGGCCCTCTTTAAGAATTCATAATGCACAAATGGATTTACTTAGATAGGTTTTCATATGTCATGCTACCAAATATACTTGGGTGACAAACCCTTATTTGATTAGAGATAAGAGCTGAAGCGTGTGCTTTGCTCTCATCTGCGTTATTTATTATACGAGACATCCTGAAGGACCATGCCAACTAAAGTACCCATGAAGCACCCTCGATTCTGATTTGTGCCTAATAAATAAAGACTAAAAAATGCTATGAGTCATTACAGAGTTTGCATTTGCAATCTGTGATTTTCAGATTTCAGGTTTGTGCGTTTAACACTAGCTCTCAGAGACCAGACCACAGCTCAGTGTGTGTGTGAGTCCTATTGTGCAGAACACACAAGACAGTCTGATATGATGTTTTTCTAATGAGAAGACTGTGGTGAACGCCCTGTATCCTGCCTCAACACAACTCTGGGCCTCACAATGGGACAATATGATCGACCTAAGTACAGATCATCTATAAAACATTCTCCCTCACACATGGCTTGACTCTGTGTATGGCTTGATTTTTGTAAATGATACCAAATGAAATACGACCAGCAGACTCGTCAGCGTTTTGGCATGGACCAAAGGAGAAACATATCACTCCTTTTCAAAACTTTGCTATCTTTCTCCACCCTACACATTTTTTGCCTTCTCTCTTTTCTTTTCTGAGAGTCTGCTGGTTGTTAAATCAATAAAACTCTCTGTCAGGCTCGCGGAGCTTCACCATTTGGCCGCTGTCAAAGCGAAACAAACCTGATAAGAAAGGCAGAAAGGCGATGAAACGAGAGAGAAAAAGAAAAAGAAGGGGATGAAACCAGTCAGCTTCCCCACACCACCACCAGCACCACCCCCATTTCTCCAACACCCCTCTTTCTATTTATTTACACACATTTCTTTATTTATTTGATGTGAGTTTGGGAAGAGGGGGCAATCACGGCAGTCATTTGCGGCACTAATGTCCAATCACGGGCCCCTTCACTCATGTGATTTAGGCAGTGCAGGAGTGGGTTTGTGGCAGAGAATGTTGGGGGGGTAGGTGTTGGGTGAGGGGGGGGCAGAGGCCGTTTAGGCCAGCCCCTAATAGGAAACTGGCAGTCTTATTCCTTCCCCAGATTCTGTTTGTCACCCCGCTCTCCATTACGTGCCTCTCAACCCTGATGGCTTTGGACAGGAGCTGATCAAAAAGCCATCGCTTGACCTACACGCCGTGGCAGAACGAGTCTCGCGCCCTGCACAGGGAGAGGGGAAGAGAGGGAGATGAGATAGAAGAGAAGAGGGAGGAGGAGGGGTGTATGTCAGTGTATGGACAGAGAGGAGAAGGAGAGCGGCGGTGAGGAGGGAGGAGGGAGGAGGGAGGAGGGGGTGATAGCTCTCGGACCGGGACAAGAGGGCTGTAAATAAAATGACATTATTATTTCCTCTGTCCCGTCATGTAGAAAAGCCAATTATGGTAATGCTGCTGCCGGCGTGTCAGAGGGAATGCTGGGATGTGCTTCCCGTGAAGCGGCTAACATGAGAGCAATGCCCTGATCAGGAACACAGGCCTCAGTTTGACAAGAGACTGCACAGATAGGGAGAAGAGGGGGGGGGGGGGGGGGGGGGCAAGAGAGAGAAAGAGATACAAAGCTAACAATGTAGCTGCATTTGGGCCTTGTTTTCTTACTAGGTAAATACTGAGCTATCTGCAGGACAACAGATTTTTAGAAAAATCAACCTATTACAGCAGACAAAATGAAGTTTGGGGATCCAGGATGTGAAAGGGGCAAAGTTTATTTTCACCATTCATTTGATATAACCCTGATTATATAAGATTCTTACTGCTACAGTCATATACATTTAAAAACCTAACTTGAGCAGAGTTGTGGAAATCCCTTTTACTGTTGTGAAAAATCAGCAAGCAACAAAACAGACACCAGTGAGGAGGTGTGTTGTACATGATCTCATTAAGTGCAGCACATGCAATATGAAAATGATTGAGAAGCTACAAAGTAAGAGGAGCTATCAACCTGAAAAGTTCAGGAGTTCATGAATTATACTCTGTCACACCTCAAAATTTGACGAGATGAATTATGCAA